AGATCTCCTATTATATTCATAACTACTTAGGATAAGCATAAATAATTTTTAGTAACCATAAGGAACTCCTAATAACTAAAAGTAACGCTCAACGCTTCATGGGTTAAACCTTCAAGAATTTCAAAAGATGCATATTATTGTCTTCTCCTATCTTTCTTCGCTTCTTCCTCCTCGAATAAGTACGGTAGGCGCCTTATCAAATTCCCAGTGGGAAAAATTCCATCACAGTGTTTCCTCATGTGCCATATTTCAAGTCCATAATAAATTATGAAATAAAAATATATATATATATATATATATTTATAAATTGGAAATTGTCATTAAAGGAAAACCAAAAGTAAAGAGGAAAACAATACTCATTTCTAATTAGCGAAGGAAACAAGAATTCTCTGCCTATAAATTTCACTTGTAAAGCCTCATAGTTTCTCATTCAATTCGATCTTCAGTAGAGTCTGAAAATAATGGCTCCAATTAAAGTGACAGTAATTAATTCAGAGGAACGCCACACAATGCTCTCAGAGTATATAAAATCAATAGTATTCAAGATAACAAAAGTATTCCAAAAGGGCGATGAAGTTGAAGTGGCAAGTCAAGTATATGGCTTCGTAGGTTCTTACTACCATGCAACTATTATTTCTCCTGTTGGCGCTTGCCATTACAAAATCAAGTATAAAATTCTGTTGACTGATGATGAATCCGCGCCACTTGAAGAGATGTTCACTTCAGCCGCGATCCGCCCTGTTCCACCTCATCAAGATGAAACAATGTCAGAAAACGGATTCCGTCTGTACGATATGGTTAATGTGTTTGCCAACTATGGATGGTGGTTTGGATTTATCAGTGGGAAAATTGAGCTATATAGGGATGCATTTATGTTCTGTAGTAACAAATTAAACGCCTAAATTTGCTGCAGCTACCCGACATTGAAACTTTCTTGAAAATGGTGGAGATTAGATGGATGTGCACCAGTAATTCAAAACATTGTGGTTTTGAATAAGGTTGTATGAGTATTATGTTTATTACATCGAATCTTTTTTACTGTGAGACGTTCTGGTGAATGTTATGAAGATTATGAATACATGTTAAATGTCCAGGATACATTCGTAAACTTTTGCTAAATACGAGAATTATTCAGATCAATGTTATATAAAGCCTATACTAATAGAGTATAACTATAGTCCCCTAAACATTCGTAGTTGCTGAGAATTGTTGCACCTCGACGAGACAGCTTATGTACTAGCTAAATAGTGAAAAAAATTGAGAGTCTGTCAGACAGCCATGAGACCATCTTAGGCCTGAGATCAAGTCTAAAAACGATCATCTACTGCATCCACAGCTCGAGGAGCTAAGGAAGGCTGTCAATCACGCTCCAGTCACATGGCCATGCTTCATCAACCAGACTTGAATTCCTGTCTCCTTAGAATTTAAGGATACAATGGTACGAGCCTATAGAACAGATCCTGTTCAAGTAAGGTCGTGACATGTGCTACTGCTACGAAGCCTCATAAACCTGGAGTTTATGTGTTGACCTACCGATGTGGGAATAATATGTTGGCCCTTGACACAGCTTCGCTGACTATTATGCAAATCTGCTCAAATACAATAAAAATTTGTGTTAGATTTTGAAGTTTTTGATTCATTATACAAAAAATAATAATTATTCACTAATTAATTTTAAGGTGTAGACAATTATATTCGTAGAAATTATTCCAATTCTCATAAAAACCGAGGTTTTATATCGGATAAAAATAACAGAAAATACATAGTGAGACACAAGTATCTCGTATCTCGAAGAAGAAGAGAGAAAAAAAAAAGACAAGTATCTCTTAAAACAATTTTTTCTGCTTATTAATATTAGCCCTGTCCACTTATTACTAGATCTCTTATTATATACATAACTACTTTATAACTATTTAGGATAAGCATAAATAACTTTTAGTAACCATAACGAACTTCCAAATAACTCCTAATAATTGTAAGTAACCATGTTGAGATTTTATCAAGAATGGTCAAAATGGCAAATGGATATTTCTTCCAAGATAATGAAAGATTTTCAATTTGCACTGATAATGATTTACAGTAATGTGACATGAAGTTACTGAATCTTTGTCCTTTATGTTAAGAAGAATAATTCAAAGTTTAGTCCCAATAGATTTCTATCGAGGAAATAGTGGATGAAACATTTTGTACTTTATAGTGAGATTTGGAAATCTTATGGAAAATAATTTATCGCGAAGCTCGTCGAGAATTCTCGAAAGCTTGAGGCGTGTAAGGCAACATTAATATTTGAATTAGAAGTAATGATCAATCCGTGGCAGTAATGGTTTACTCAAATTTTAGCATTGTTGTAACAAAAGATCAAGATTTCCAATTAGGTCTCGTTCTTTCTTTAGGAAAAGAAAAAGAATTATTGGTCCGAGCTTATAAAGCAAATTGTGTTCAAGTAAGATTGTGCCTATGGTCAGTGAATAGACAATTATAACGTCAGAGCTTATTTGTTGCGCACCCGATGTGGGAGTAAATATTAGTAATACATTGGCATGTCACACAAACTATACAATCTCCAATTCTACATTCGCCCAAGTGCGCTTCTCCTGCTACGACTACCCCTTCTTCTATTTGAAAGGTAAAGGTCCACCAGAGAGAGGCTAGTGCTTTCATGAATAAATGCGGTAAAATCATCAATCTTTTCGTTACATATCGGGGACAGGAAACCAGCCCAACTAACTCGATTTCCTAAAGAAAAGAGGGGGCGCTCTTCCAATATTGAGCTCCTAGCCCTACCTCTCTTTTTTCAAAAGTATATAGAAATGGTAGGCACTGGGAGTGAGTGAACTACCTTGGGAGAAAAGGGCAACCTCTCAATAGAAGGGAAGGGAAAGGGTTATCCGCCCATAATGATTGTAGAGTCTCTCGGGGTTGGATCCTCCCCTTCTTACTCAGAATAGCTAGCGAGAGGAATACTATTGATTATCTATGAAAGAAGGCTTTTAAGAATGGCTACAAAATCAGTGAAAATTTATCAATTAAATAAGTATTGTTGAAGAAAAAGTCACTCGACTTTTCTCAAATAAAGATATTTTAGTAAACTATACCTTTAGAATTATTTTTTCTATAATTAACTTGAAAAAATGAAACTAAAGTTATAATTATACTGGGGCGGAGGGAGTAATTTGTTTTAAGGTGAAGACCATCAATTTCGTATAAACCATCCTAATTCCCAGTAGCAAGAATTCCATGACATTTTTCCGCGTTAGTAACTTATATGGTCACTTAACTATAACAAATTGCAAAAGTTACTAATGATTATAAGAATGAGAAAAATTAGCATATCATAAACCATAAAGGAAGTATTACAAAATCAAACTTGAGGAGATTATATAATTATAAACCATAAAGGAAGTATTACAAAATCAAACTTGAGGAGATTATATAATTGTCTCTTTAGTTTTTTTGGTCATAGTAACCTTTTAGTAAAACTAGTTGAAGTTATGTTGAATGACTTTTTGGTAAAATCTAGTTTAAGTTACGTTGAACGATTTTCTTTTGGTAAAACTAGTTTAAGTTAATTAAGTTAAATGATTTTTTGGTAAAATTAGTTTAAGTTACGTTGAACGAATTTTTGGTAAAACTAGCTTGTTTAAGTCATATTGAACGACTTGTTTTGGTAAAACGAGTTTAAGTTACGTTGGATGACTTTTTGGTGAAACTAGTAATTTGAACGATTATTTGGTAAAACTAGTATAAGTTGAATGACTTCTTTTGGTAAAACTAGTATAAGTTGAACGACTTCTTTGGTAAAACTAATATGAGTTATGTTGAACGGGTTTTTGGTAAAACTAGTTTAACTTGAACGATTTTTTTGCGAAAAAGATTTTTTGATAAGCCTAGTTTAAGTTGCAAAATACTTTGGTGAAACTATTAAGAGCCTGTTTGGCTCGGCTTAAAAGCTGGTTTATGACTTATTTAGCTGTTTGGCAATACTCAAAACAGCTTATTTTAAGTTAAAAAAAACTTATTTTAAGCCAAAAGTTAAAAGCTGGGGTAGAGGTGCTTTTTTTTTTTTAGCTTATAAGCTGTTTTAAGTTGACCACATTTTTATCTTTTTGTGCTTAATATTTTTATACAATCTCCAAATTACCCATATAACCCTAACATTTCTTTCTTCCATTTTTCCCTTTTCACGTTTGATATAACAACTTCAGCACTTTTATCCAAACGCATAACTGCTTATTTTAAAAATAAGTTTCAGCACTTTTAAAAGTACTTTTTAAAAGTACTTTTTTAAAGCTGCTTTTATTAAGCCCATCCAAACGGGCCCTAAATTGAAAGATTTTTTGATAAGCCTAGTTTAAGTTGCACAATATTTTGGTGAAACTAGTAATAAGTTGAACGATTTTTTGATAAAACTAGTAAGTTGAAATATTTTTTGATAAAACAAGTAAGTAGAACGATTTTTTTATAAAACCAATTAAAGTCATACAATTTTTTTTGTGAAAAATTAATAAGTTGGCCGCTTTTTTGATAAAACCAGTTTAAGTTGAATTTTTTTTCTTCATAAAATAGTAAGTTGACCGATTTTTTGATAAAAACAAGTAAGTTGAACGATTTTTTGATAAAACTAGAAAGTTTGACCATATGTTGGTAAACCTCGTAAGTTGAACGTTTTTTAATTTGGTAAAACTAATTTAAGTTGAATGACTTTTTACTAAAACTCGTAAGTTTGACATTTTTTAAATTGGTAAAACTAATTTAAATTGAATGACTTTTTACTAAAACTCGTAAGTTGAACGATAGTTTGATAAAACTAAAAAGTGTAAACTATCATAAATGGAAAACAAAAGAAAATAGGAAAATAATGCCCATTAATCACCAAAGGTAACATAATTCTCTGCCTATAAATTGACTTGCAAAGCCTCACTTTTCATTCAATTGAATCAATCTTCACTACTACTCTAAAAATGGCCCTAACCAATTCATGGCAACTCCACCAATCAAAAATGGAAAAGCTCATAAACGAAATAGATTCGATAGTAATGGAGACACAACAAATAACAAAACAATTCCAAAAGGGCGATGAAGTTGAAGTGACAAGTCACAAACTAGGCTTCGTAGGTTCTTACTACGAAGCAACTATTGTTTCTATCGAGGACGCTAATCATTACAGAGTCAAGTACAAAACTCTGTTGACTGACGATCAGTCTGCACCTCTAGAAGAGCTTGTCCCTATAGGCCATGTCCGCCCTGTTTCATCTCATCAACTTGGAACAACGTCAGAAAATAGATTTCGTCAATACGATAAGGTTGATGTGTTTTCCAGTGATGGATGGTGGTTTGGATTTATTAGTGGGATAATTGAAGAAAATTACTATGTCCATTTCCCTACAACTGGACAGGAAGTTGCATATCCTTCTCACGCGTTGAGATTTCATCAAGAATGGTCTAATGATGATTGGGAAGCCTGAAATGACAAGGAAGGATTTTCGATTTATGCTGATCTTGATTTCATGAAATTCTTGATTAATTTACCGTACTAAGATAGGAATGCAATTCATGTTTAGTTGCATATTGTTATATTGCTGATTAAGAATTTTCATAGGCTAAACATATATTTTCTAGCCTTACATTGTGGTATTTTATGTTATTAAATTCTTTACATTTTTGCTTTTCTAAGGTAGCTCGAATTCAAACATAAATGTACACAAATTCATGATATTTTAAGAATTTAAGCGTAAAATTACTAGTCACTCCAAAATGATAATGTAGATCGACGCTAAGTGATATGAAATAGTTCCATCACAATTTTTTTCACCTTGCAATAGCTCAAGTACCTAATAAATTAGGAAAGTTAGAAAATAATTTAACAAATATAAAAATAGGAAATAACTCATTCCAGGAAAAACCAAAAGAAAACAGGAAACAGTTTTCTCTGCCTTTAAATTCAGTAGTAAATCCTCATAGTTTGTCAATTTTTTCATTGAATTGAAGCAAACAATCAATCAGTTGAATCTGCAAAATGGCCTCAATCAATGTGACAGAAATGAACTCAGTGCAACTCCATCAATCAAGAATGGCGATGCTCTCAGAGTCAATCAAATCGATTGCATTCAAGAAACAACAGATAACGAAAGAATACGAAAAGGGTGATGAAGTTGAAGTGGCAAGTCAAGAATTGGGCTTCATAGGCTCTTACTACGCAGCAACTATTATTTGTTCCACTGGCGACGATTACTACAGAATCAAGTACAAGACTCTGTTGACAGATGATGAATCTGAGCCACTAGAGGATGTTTTCTCTGCAACCGAGCTCCGCCCTGTTCCACCTCATCAACATGAAAAAATTCCAGAAAACGGATTCCGTCTATACGATATGGTTGATGTATTTGACAACGATGGATGGTGGTTTGGATTTATCAGTGCGAGAGTTGGAGATGAGTACTATGTCTACTTCCCTACAACTGCAGATAACATTGCATATCCTCCTCACGTGTTGAGATCTCATCAAGAATGGTCTAATGGCAAGTGGGTATTTCTACCACGACAATGAAAGATTTTCGACTTGCACTGATCTTTTGATTTCAAGAAGTTATTGATTTACTGTAATTTGATATGAACGCTTTGTTAATCATTCACTTTACGCCAATTCTTCAAGTTAAGTCGCAAACTGTTATATTGCTCGCTGATAAAAATTTCGATAGGCTGTAATCTGTATAGTGAGAAACGAGAACATATGAATTTGTTACTCTGTTTTTGAGTTGAATTGTGCTATATAATAAGATGCATTACTTTTCGGTAATAATAAAAGTTACAAAATTTCACTAGGAAATGAACAAGGTATTGCTATTAATGTCTTCGCGGTCTTCACAAGTTCCAATTCTGCACCTGAATCAGAATTTCTTTAGAAAAAACTGGCAATGAGTAATGTCAACTTGGTGTAGTTCAAGAAAGGTGTAATATGCGTGTCTACTGATTTAAACATCACGATTTATATGAAAAATGAACTGAGACGTTTGGCATTCAGCATTGTTCCTCTTGTGTTCAATTTTTAAAAAGGAATTCACTTCTTAACATGGAAAAAATAATGAATCGTAATAATAATGATTAGTATAAGGCAATAAGTTGTTCTATAAAAGAACAATAATGTAATACCGCATGCCTACGCTATGTTTTTATTATTTGAATAACCATATAAGTTATTAACTCCATTTTTTCTCCTGTTTCCATATTTCAAAGTCATCAGGAAGTAAACAATTAGGTAACTGAAAACCTAATTTCAAGTTCTATAAATTGACTTGCAAAGCCTCATAGTTCTCACTTTTCATTCAATAGAAACAATCTCCATTACTACTCTCAAAAATGGCAAGAATCAAAGTGACAGAAAGAAATTCAGAGGAACGTAGCGAATCGAGAACGGAAATGCTCTCAGAGTATATAAAATCAATAGCATTCAAGAAACAACAGATAACAAAAGTATTCCAAAAGGGGGATAAAATTGAAGTGGCAAGTCAAGTATATGGCTTCGTAGGTTCTTACTACGAAGCAACTATTGTTTCTTCAATTGGCGCTTACCATTACAAAATCAAGTACAAGAATCTGTTGACTGATGATGAATCTGCACCACTGGAAGAGATGTTCACTTCAGCCGCGATCCGCCCTGTTCCGCCTCATCGAGATGAAACAATGTCAGAAAACGGATTCCGTCTGTACGATATGGTTGATGTGTTTGCCAACGATGGATGGTGGTTTGGATTTATCAGTGGGAAAATCGGAGAAGAGCACTATGTCTACTTCCCTACAACTGCAGATAACATTGCATATCCTCGCGATGTACTGAGATTTCATCAAGAATGGTCTAATGGCAAATGGATATTTCTTCCACGACAAGGAAAGATTTTCGACTTGCATTAATCTTGATTTACTGAATATACTGAATCTTTCTCCTTTATGTTAAAAGGAATTTCAAGTTTAGTCCCAAAAATTGCTTTGATGATAAAGATTTGTACTTTACAGTGAGAAATAAGAATCTGTAATTTGTTACTCTGTTTTAGCCCTGAATTGTGCTCTATAATAAGATGCATTACTTTTCTTAAAGGTGTAATACGTGTGTCTACTGGTCTAAACATCCCGATGATTTTCAGCAATCACAGGTGTGCTGATCAATCGGGTCAAGATTCCATCCAATTTAAATTTGTTTAATGGGGTTAGATAATGGGTTATATTACGGGTTAAGACCCACCCAGCCTAATTTTTTACTAAGTGTCATTATTTTATTTGTCTTTTAAATTATTTTAGTACCTAATGAAATTATATTTTTCCTTTGTTATTAAAAAACGAGTTAATAACCCACCCAAACTTAAACGGTTTGTTTGGGTTTAATTTTGCCACCTCTAGTTCTGTTTGATGCACAAATGCTAAAATTTGAAACTAATTAATATTACCTTTTGTTTAAAAAAAAACTTTGTGATGTAATAATAAAATAATTGATTTTGGACCTAATTTAACTCTAAAAACTCGTTTATGAGGGATATTTGTTCAAGTCCAAAGAGATCATGCATATTTTTCTTATTTCACCGACAAAACGGGTGACTTACCAGGAAGTATATGTAGATAGGTTATACTATATGTCTATACGCCCCATCATCTATCGATCACAAGTCGCAACATTTATAAAAAACCTACTTAATTATACAATAGTTCCATTAAACGCTTAATTAATCATTTTGAGTTCAAGTTATAATATATATTGTCAGTTTGATTATTTTTTAATAGTATTAAGTTATTATTCTAAGGATAAATGACTAAAAATTCATTTAATTTTCAAAGAACATGGAGATCGAAAATCCAAACTATACTCATTTTAAGCTTGGGGTTAGTTACATCTGATAATATGACTCAATGTCTCAATTCGAATACATCCTTGTATTTTAATCTTTTAACAATGTCATATTCATCAAAATAAACACTATATTATATACAATTTAATATTATACATTATGAAACAACCCAAAACAAAATCGACAAGAAAGGAAGAAACAAAATGCAAAGTTTAATTTATTAGGAAATTAAATGCCTTCATATCACCAAAGGGCACTCCTTATTATAGACACTTATTAATTTGATAAAGTGAAATTAGAACGATTGAATATGTTTTAACGACCTTCCAGAATTTCTTTCTTAAAATTGAACACAAGAGGGGCACCGTTAAGCCCTAAACGCCTCTGACCATTGACCATAACAACTCCAACATCTTTACAAATAACTTTACAGTAAACAAATTTATAACCCTGCCCATACTTCTCAATCCTGAACCAATTTCTTCTAACCTTAGGACCAACATTAACAAAAAACCTCCCTCCATCATATTTCTCTAGTTGCCACATTGTCGAATTAAGACAATCGTAGGTACTATAAATTGCAATTTTTAGATCAGTGGACACGCGAATTACACCTTTCTTTTTATTGACCGGGATTAATTCTAGGCCGTGGCCGTGTGGTTCAACGTAACGTTTTTGTATGACACTAAGTTGACATGTACTATTGTTGCCTGTGGTTTCCACGGCAACGCCACCATATTTTTCGCCGTTGATTGGAACTATAAAATATGTTTTTTCAGTTCGCAGAATTTTACCAGTTGTGTCAAGAACTGGATTAGGCGCTGAAGATGCTTCACAAAGACAAGAATTTGTGAAGATGGCAAAAATAGAGATAAATTGGAATATGAATAATTTCTTCATTTTCTCAAACTTTTGTACTATGATTGGTTTTTATTTTAATTTCTTGGTGGTGGAGAATTTTGTATGGACATTTAAAGGTGTGAATTGTGTTCTTTTATAAAGAAAATATAGCACATTGGTTATGGATTTTTATTTAAAACTTGGGCACGTACCTAAATAGGTTGACGGACTTTGACATTAAATTAAATATTTTTGTGTGGCTTTTGTTTGTCACTTGGCGTGCATGGTATTTGAAAATTTTTAGTCCAGTAATTTTGATCTTCAATAATCAATAATTAAAAGTACGGTATATATAATTTGGAATTTGTGATACTATAATATCCGTGTTATAGTTTGCTCGATTTCAAATTATATATAATTATATAATAAATAATTATGAATTTGACTTTTAATTATGAATTTGACTTTGTATCATATTGACATCTTAAATATGTAAAAATATATGTTTAAAAAAGGTACATGTAATTCCTTTCATTAATCAATTGCGCAAAAAAAAAATTAAAATAAAGTAGACAAAATATCAACGTCTAAATTATTCTGTTGATACTAATACTAATTTATGAATTTATTAGAATCACATTAATTAATATATATGGGTTATATATTTAAGTATATATATTTCGATAATAAAATAAAATTAAAACACGTATCAAAAGTCATGTCAAATATTATAATATCTTGATGAGGTGCAACAAATTAGAAAAATATTTTGGGAGCAAATATATAAGTAATTAATTATTCTAATTATGATTAGAGTTTTATTATAATTAATTAAATATTGGCCATTAATTTAGAATTGTGACATGTCTCCAAATCAAGTAAGAATATGAGGAAAATTAAGAGGAGCAGATCTAAATAATTAGTATCATTTTTCTTCATAATTAGTGCTTTAACAAATTATACTTTTTCTGGTAGTAAAATGTTTAACTACTATTTATTCCTTTATATGATATATAGTTATAAATAAAGTTTTGGAAAAGAATATGATAGATTAGAGAGTAAATAACACTAAGAAATAAAGAAAAAGGCAAAAATTACAACTAGAGTAAATTTTCAAAATGATCAATCCAATTAAAATCGTATAGTAAAATCATCTAATTTATTTTTATATCAATAAAGTCATTCTATTTAAATTTTATTCTTATCGAAATCTCGAAAAAGTATGTTATATCACCAAAAATCTGACATGGAGCTTTTGCAAAACAAAGCACACACAAGTTTATTAGCAAAGGGCAGCCTATCCTTATGGAATTACTATTTGAATTAAGGACAAGTTATTTTCTTCATCATTAGTACCATTTTGGTAGATTTTACTTATTTGAGTAATTTGTTCAATTGCATTAATATATAGATACTTGTGGTTTGATTCTTTCTCGACCCTGTTCATAACGAGAGCTTAGTGCACTTGACTGTCTTTTAAATTTCAAGAATTGAATTCTCTTGAACATCGTTGAGTGCTAAACGATTTTGTTCATTGATGGGTCATACTCCTCAAGTTGCCACACCGTCGATTGACAACATTTGTATATACTGAAAATCGCAACATTTGAATCAGTCGATATACTTATTGTACCTTTCTTTATATCCACCGGGATAAATTCAAACAAATCACCATTTTTGTCCTATTTTTCTTTTACAATGCCAAATTGACATGTCTCGTTAGAGACCGCCATTTTCTCGATTTGTTGGCACTATGTAATACGTTGTGTGTGTTCGGAGGATTTTGCCATTTGTGTGTCTAGCACTGGTTCAGGTGCGGTGGATGCTTCACTAAGGGCCCGTTTGGAATGGGTTTAATAAAAGCAGCTTTAAAAAATTACTTTTGAAAGTGCTGAAACTTATTTTTAAAATAAGCAGTTATGCGTTTGGATAAAAGTGCTGAAGTTGTTATGTCAAACGTGAAAAGGGAAAAATAGAAGAAAGAGATGTTAGGGTTATATGAGTAATTTGGAGATTGTATAAAAATATTAAGGGAAAAAACATAAAAATGTGGTCAACTTAAAACAGCTTATAAGCTAAAAAAAAAAAAAGCACCCCTATCCCAGCTTTTAACTTTTGGCTTAAAATAAGTTTTTTTAAACTTAAAATAAGCTATTTTGAGTATTGTCAAACAGTTAAATAAGTCAAAAACCAGTTTTTAAGTCAGTTTGACCAGCTTTTAAGCTGAGCCAAACAGGCTCTAAGCCAAATATTGATGAAGGTGGCAAGTAATAATATTAGCAATAGATTCTTCATTTTTTGAAATTTTGTATGTAGTGATGTTTTTGTTTTGTGAATTTTGCATGGACAATTAGAGATGTACGTTAAATGTGTGTTTATATAAAGAAAATTGAACATTGGATGTGGATTTTTTTTCTCAATATACTTCCTAAATTAATAGGTTGACAGTGTTTTATTTTGTATTCGATATCCGTATTAAAGTCTAACTAATTTAGATTCAGGCCGCCTATTTGAAAGTAGGCAGGTAGCACTCCTTATCAAGGATTTTCATCATGCACAATACTTAAACCTGAGACCACTAATTAAAGTTGGAGCTAGCATGTAGTTTCATCCACTTCTCCATATTCATTAGTAATATATATTAATTATTTTTATTTTTGGAAGTTTTTACTTTCTTTTTAATCGAATGAGCAATTTTGAAAGTTTTAGCTTCTAATTTTTATTTGATGGATAATATTTCTTTTCTTTCTCTCTAAATATAATATGAAATCCAAGAGGATTCCATTAAAAGAAAAATCATTTTTTAATCATCATCTAAATTGTAATGGATAGTGTATAAATAAATCTGCATATTGTTTTTTATCACTAGAAAAGGAAAAGGTGAAGAAAGGCAGGACAAGTTGTTAATTTTATACTTTGTCCTAAATCAACTTTGTATTTCAAAACGGTATCAGATGCCAAAAAAAAAATATAAAATAAAAAATATAAAAAAATTGGCTATTTGAATATTGATAGATTATGCAAAATATATTGGCCATCATCACTTGTCGAGTATGAATTCATGGAAACTAATGATGTCTGACTATGAATTTCATTCAGATCGAAATCTCCCAGAAAAATGATGTGCGTTTAACAAAGTGTAGTATTCAAAATGTTTACGGTAAAATAATTATTTAAATTATTACTTTTTTTCAAAAATATTATTTTAACTATTAATTTTTTTTTTGACCGTCAAACATATCATTACTTCTTTTTATATTAAAATATATGTTTTTATACTGAGTTATTTATTTATTCTTAAATCAACAACACATATATAGATGATCAACATAACATCGAGATTCGAGGGTGTTTTAATACCATAAATAGATGATAGTTAAATGTGTTTTTTTAATTCTTATTTCTTTTAATAGTTAAATGTTAATAGCCTTTTTGTAGTATTCTACTAGCAAATTGTGTGATAAAGACATTACTATATTATATGCATCTTATGTTACTTTTTTTATATATATAATTATATCACTTTATTATAACTTTGAAAATTTAAATAGTAATATCTAGCTGGCTCCGATCCAATTTTAGCCTATGGTTTCAATAATTTAAATATTAAATACTGAGAATTGGATAAACAATATGCTTCCATCTGTTATCGTCTCTTCACCCTACGCAACAGGTAAACTAGGAGTACTATATATACTTTTTAAAAAATATAATATTCTTATATATAGTTCATCATCATTATAGTAATTAAATTGTCAGATTAATAAACTAAAATCGCACCAAATGCTTAGTAAAGATCGCACATACATTGGTCTATTTCCTTTAGAGTCCTTTTTCACCTTCCCATGTATAATTTTCTTAAATTAAAATTTCAAAATCAACTACTGTTTCACTTAAAAAGAAATTTAAATTTATAATACATATCAAGTTAAATAATATTACATAAATTGAGACGAAAAACGTATATATATAGGGTGTATATATATAGGGTGATAATTTTAAATTGTGGTTCTAACCTCGACTGACGCATTCCATTCCCAAAATGAGTACTTAATTAATTAGGTGTTACGTGTATTTCAGCAATGATGAATGCCGCGTGGCTTGTCGGTGGCAAATTTATACTACTACTATGAAATTTACTACTTTAGCATTGAATTGGTCAAATCATTTATATACATCTTCCCCGTCTAGTATTAAATATTTATATTAAAGTTTGATTAAATCTAAATTCATAGTATATAGTAGTTTTTTATTTAAGAAAAAACATTGTCTATGAAGGATATTTTTATATATAAGGCTTGAACCCAATAAATTTAATTAATTAGAAGGAACAAACATATCCACCAGATCACACTATTTGATAATTTTTACATATTATTTTATTACGTCTTTTATGAAAGAAAATAACAATCTCTTGAAAAAAAACATAAAATTATAATCAATTTTTAAAAAATCAAAAAATAAGTTGACCCAAAATATTTAAATAAGTTAATTTTAAAACTTATTTTGAATAACTCTTAAAAAAAAATACAATCGAAGAATATGAAAATATTATTTTATTGCCACTACAATTATTAAAATTTTAGCCCCACCAATATCGCACGCCTCCATCTTACCAAAAAAAAAAAATCGAGCGACGATCCACCAACGTGCAAAAAAATCACCACTTATCTCTCTATAAATTGACATCCACTTGCCGTAAATACTCATACCAAATTCAAACTAACACAAGAAAAAAAAAAAAACATAATGAATACCCTTTTGTTACTATTTTCACTTTCACTTTTTCCATTTATCTTATGTGTGCCAAATCCTTCAAGACTACTCTTAGCATCATCATCATCGTCTCCGGTTCTCGATATCAATGGCGATAAAGTTAAAGCAGGTCCCAACTACTTCATTTTACCCGTTATTCAAGGAAAAGGCGGCGGACTTTACCCATCCAACGTTAAACAACACAATAGTACTTGTCCTAGGGACATTATTCAAGAGACGGACGATGTACAAGAAGGATTGCCAGTAGTGTTTACACGTCTCGACGCGAAAAAAGGCGTCGTTCGTGTATCTACTGATGTTAATGTGAGGTTTTTTACTCCGACTATTTGTGCTAGAGAAACTATTTGGAAACTTGGAGCGTATGATGACAAGTTGAAACAGTATTTTGTTGTGACGGGTGGAGTTGAAGGTAACCCGGGTCCGAAAACCGTGGGTAATTGGTTTAAGATTGTGAAATTCGGGTCGGGTTATAAGTTTGTGTTTTGTCCAAGTGTGTGTAAGTTTTGTAAAGTTATTTGTAAAGATGTTGGGGTTTTTATGAAGGATGGGGTGAGGTTTTTGGCTCTTAGCGACACTCCATTCGAAGTTAAGTTTAAGAAGACTTTTTGATTTGTGTAAAATTTTCTTTTTTAAATTTGTACAAGTTTTATGGTTAATTTGAAAGATTTAATTTTTTAATAATATTATGTTTATGATATAGGATGTGACTATTTTTTTTTTTAACTAGTAGCTAGTCTTTCTTAATTAATCTGTTATTCATTAAAAACTCGTTAAAATTTGAAAGTTTAATTTTATCTTATTTTGTAAGAAAATGAAAGATTTATATTATATTTCAATAAATCATTAAGTTGTCTTAAATTGTCTCTTCAACAATAGGTGATATATGAATTATATTGCAATTATGTTTTTGGGACTTTAATGTATACATGACTTTTCTTTTTTAAAAAAGCTAGTAGTTTCTATAGATATGTTTGATAAAATAAAAATTCAATTTTTTTTTGAAACTTCCAATCGAAGATGAAACTGAGAAATATTTATGATTTATAACTTGAATATTTAGCTTAGAACTTGAGCAAATTTACCTCTTCATTAGCATACAATTTTCTTAGAAGATATGAAACAAGTTAAATATTAATCAGTAAATTAAGCCTAGTTATTTTTAGTAATATTTGAAAATGTTTTTTTAAATTATTCCTTCGTGCTATATTTTACCATAAATAAAATTATAGTATGTAACTACCGAAACTGTGCATTATATGACTATAAATTTTGTACCGAACTATGAGTGAAATTCAATCCACTACAAATAATGAATTTATTTATAAAATATAAAAAATTATGGTAATTTTAATTTTTTAAAAGGTTCTCAAATAGAAGAATTTTATCAAAATACTAGATTTTTTCTTATATTTAGGAAATTTAATTGTTTGTCAAATAGTGAGATTTTTTTTCCAACCGGTGTTTGTAGCATAAATTAAAATGTGCGTTAAATTTAAATTACACATTACATTCAAAAATAGCATTTTAAATAAAATTCTCTATACTTAAAACTCAAATCTGAGACCTCTAATTAAGACGAAGCATGCTTCGTAAACCACAAACCCATATCGCTAATGACAACTTATATGAAGCCGGACAATATTTGTCAAGTTTTTCTCTATATGTTTTGGAATATTTATGGCCAAACACGTCACTGCGAACATAATTTCGATCTGTTAAAGTCAACTTCTAGAAGACTTCTCCAGTCCAATTAAGATGTGCGTTTATTATTGACCAACTTATGTCAAGATCCATTCAGTTATCACCGTCATGATTTTATATGTATTATTCAAATTTTCCTGACATATTTTAATTTCGAGTTTTTAAATATTTTAAATTAATAATTATTGTAATTTATATTTTTATATAATTTATAAATATATAAATTTTATTTTTAAAAAATTAAAATTTCATATTCAAATTTTAAATTAAATTTAAAATTATTTGACTCTTAAAAAATAAAATATGTCAAATAAATAGAAATAAATAGAATAGATGGATATTCTTTTTGAAGTAAAATATTATCACTCCTTTACTAAGTTTGATTTTTATATTAAATAAGTATTTTATTTTATTTGCTTTTATCTTTAACTAATTATTTTTTTAGATGTTTCGGGTTATTAAAAGTTGCGAAATACTATAAACATAAAGGGAACATGTATAAGTGTCCCTTAGATTATGACTAAAATCTTAGAGACACACCTTAGCTAAACTAAAGTTCTATTACCGCGGCGGGACTTATATTTTTGATAATTTTATATATCTTTTGTCTTACGTGACAGACTTTGTGACTTCACGTGATTGAGACGTGTGGGAGATATTTGGATGTCACATAGGCCAAAAAGGTGCATAACATTACAAAATAAATAAGTTCAGGAGATAATAAGACCTTAAAATAGTTAAGATATGTTTTTATAAGTTCAGGAGATAATAAGACCTTAAAATAGTTAAGGTATCATAATCTAAATGGTACTCGTACATTTTCTCAATATAAAACGAACAAATTCTTTTAATTGAGTATCCCATTTTAATAATCGTTGAGCACGTTTGATTTAAAATTTTAGGGACCGCCACTATTTCATTTTATTTTTTCACTAGCAATACAAAATTAAAGTGGCTTATCCCTTAGCTATAAATTGACATCCAATTCTGATCATTCAACACACCAAAGTACTTATATCATTAAAAAGAAAAATGAACATCCTTTTGCTACTTTCAATTATTCCATTTACTTTAGCATCATCGTCATCACTATCTCCAGTTCTAGACGTCAATGGCGATGAAGTTCAAGCCGGTCCTAACTACTTCATCTTACCTGTAATCCGAGGAAGAGGCGGTGGCGGACTTTCCCCATTCAACGTTAAAAACAACAACACTTGTCCTAGGGACATCATACAATGGGATGACGAGGAACAAGAAGGATTGCCAGTAGTATTTACACGAATCGACGCTAAAAAAAGCGTCGTTCGTGTATCCACTGATGTTAACGTGAGGTTTTATACTCCGACTATTTGTGCTAGAGAAACTATTTGGAAACTTGGAGATTATGATGACAAGTTGAAAAAGTATTTTGTAGTGACTGGTGGAGTTGAAGGGAATCCGGGTCTGAAAACGGTGGGTAATTGGTTTAAGATTGAGAGATTCGGGTCGGGTTATAAGCTTGTGTACTGTCCAAGTGTGTGTAAGTTTTGTAAAGTTATTTGTAAAGATGTTGGGATTTTTATTACTAACGATGGAGTAAGGCTATTGGCTCTTAGTGACACTCCTTATAAAGTTATGTTTAAGAAGACTTTTTAATTTTAAAAAATTTATTTTGTAATAATAAATAATATTTTGTGTCTGATTTGATGTAATCTTGGTTGCATTAAGTTTGAACATGATTTTATCTTAATCTATATCATTATTGTTTATTCTAGCTATTCGACCACTTTGTCTCTCTTTCTTCTAAAAAATATTATTTTTAATTTATTATTTCTAAGGTTAATCAATAACAATATTTTGTATTACAATCACTTCAAAAGGGAATAAAGATATGCTTTGAGATAATTTGTAACTAAAATAATTGTGCGTTACATTACAAAGATAGTCAAGTAAATTTTAAGATACAAATAACTTATATTAAAGAACATAATATTTTAATATGATATAGTCAAAATTGTGTGTATCTACGATGAATTGACTAATATAAACAAACAAAGTTTGGAGGGAATATCTCGAAAAGTTCACACCTTTTAAAATTAAAAGAGGTATACATTTTTTTTGTGGCTATGGCTTTTATTAACTATAAAATTCTCTTTATTTTATGTCAAATGTAGTGCACTTATTATAATTTAAGGTGATAAATATATTCACATTAGCAGAGATTCATCAAATGAAACCCATTGTTTCATTATATGTGAGCTTAACTTACCGTTTAGAGTAATTGTTTCACTTTTTCAACCAAACACCAATCATTTTTTGGGGAATATATTGATCAAATTGCGTATGATATAGTTAATAAGATTTTGTAAACATATTATTGATTTCTACGAAAAAGTTAACCGATCGATTTGATGTCTTCAGACAGGTAGGAATTAGTAGTCTGCATGTGAGTTCAATTGAACTTAGTATATTTTGCTCAAATAATATATATATGTTAATAAATGTATTTAATGTATATAAATATAAAACTTAGAATTCTAATTATCACTTAAAATCGTCATTACAATATTCAAAATTCATAAAATTGAACTTTCATCTTTTATCTCTGTCCGATTAACCAATTTTTTAATGTTTTTTTTTTTTTAAGAAATGTTTCATATATTGACGGGCAATTAGACATAATAATTAAAAACAAGGAACCGATTGACGGACATAATTTAGAAATAAGGAGACCAAAGAGAAATTATTTATAATTTCCATAATCGTTTAAGCAATAAATGATTCTCTACCGTTAGATACACACTTCATCGAACGGTTCGTATTAAAACAAAATTTCGCTCCAAAAATCAAAACGAAATTCAAATTCTACCGCCAAACCAAAAAATCGCCAAATTCGAAAATCAAATCTCTATAAAACCCTAACCCTAACCCCAACCCCATGTAATTTCATCACAAATCAATTCAATCTCTTCTCAGTTCAATCTGACCACTGAAAAATGTCTGGCCGTGGAAAGGGAGGCAAGGGTTTGGGAAAGGGCGGAGCAAAACGTCACCGGAAAGTTCTCCGTGATAACATTCAGGGAATCACTAAGCCGGCGATAAGGAGGTTGGCGAGAAGAGGTGGAGTGAAGAGAATCAGTGGATTAATCTATGAAGAAACGAGAGGTGTTTTGAAGATCTTTTTGGAGAATGTGATTCGTGATTCTGTGACTTATACTGAACATGCTAGGAGAAAGACTGTTACTGCTATGGATGTTGTTTATGCTTTGAAGAGACAAGGAAGGACTCTTTATGGGTTTGGTGGTTGATTTCATATGTTTTCACCTTTTTTTTCATTGTTGTTGATGGAAAATGGAATCTAGCTGTTGTTTTTGGTTATAGTTTTATTTAGAGAAGATTGTGAGATCATTGTAATTGATGATTTGTGTTAGATGAAATGGATCTCATTACTTTTTCAGTTATTCTTCTGTGAATTCTTTTGCAAGTTTTTATCTATTGATTTGTGATTCAAAATTGATTCTTTATCATAAACTTTTGGTGGTTGCTGCAAATACTTGTTAGTAAAGTTGTGCTATAAATATGATCTCTTTAAATTTTACGTCAAAATAAAATATTTTATAATTTTATGTTTAATCTAATGCGCGATAAATATATTCATGAGTGAGGATTCATCGTATCAAAACCTTTGTTGCATTGTGTGTGAGCTTAACTTAACATTTAGAGTAATTCTTTTCACTTTACCAACTAAACACCGATCATCTGATAATATATTGATCAAATCGCATCTAATAGAGTTACTAATATATTTATAAACAATATTATTGATCTTTTATTAAAAAATTAACCCCATTGCCTTCAATCGGGGAGGAGAGGAGCTAGTAACCTGCATGCGAATTCAGTTGAACTTAGTAGATTTTACTCAAATAATATATTTATGTAAATAAATTTATTTAATATATACTAATATTTAATTTTGAATCCTTATTATCACTTAAAATCGTCATTACTAAATTCAAAATCCATAAAATTCAAAATTATCTTTTATCTCTGTCTGCGTTATAACCAATTTATAGTGTTTTTCTTTTTTAAAGTAAATGTTTCATATATTGACGGGGGCAATTAGACATAATTAAAAACAAGGAACTGATTGACTGACATAATTCAGAAGTAAAAGGACCAAAGAGAAATTATCTATAAAATTTGCGGGGCTTTGCTAGGGTTTAACAAAGAGAAATTTTAGGCCTTTCTTCTTCGAAAAAAGGGAAATCGAATTAGCTTGCCGGAGTTCAGAAAAATGTCGAGACCGGAACTCCTAGCACCGCCGGAAATTTTCTACAACGACGATGAAGCTAGAAAATATACCTCATCTTCTCGAATTATTGACATACAGGTATATATCCTATTGTAATGAACAATTTTATAGTTATATGGTAATGCTTCTGATTTCTGCTTGTATTTGGTGAAAGACACAACTTACAGAGAGAGCATTGGAGCTCCTTGCTTTACCTGATGACGGCGTCCCGAGATTACTTCTTGATATTGGTATGTATGTATGTTTATGAGTATTACCTGAAAAATTTGTAAAGGAGAATTTGATGGGCTAGATTTAGCATTAAGTTAATTCTTGTGAATGAAAATAAACGAATTTGAGCAGTCTGAGCTTCCTTATACCCTATATTTGTCCAAGTATGGTTTGTCCTTATGGTTTATAGTTAAGCTTATAGCTGTATATGGTCTATCACATAAAGGAGTCTTCATGTTTGAAAGGTATTGACTTTTCCGATGCGGAGAGAGTTTTATAGGTTTAATTTAAATAGTGAAGTGTACACTTTCTTAAATTGTTGAACAATCAGAGTAGACTGAGTTGTTTGATTGGCCTTTTATGTAGCATGGGAAAGTGCCTCAATGTTTACTGGTGTAGAGTTATGCAATTTAGCCACATTTGCTTGTGCTTCTGAGTTCACCTTTGGTGGAAGAGGTCAACATGTAAACTTGAAAGATTGGAACTTCTGGAATTGTTGCACTTATGGATCCTACAGCTGTATATTTAAAGCAAAGATGCTTGTTCCTGCATATTCAATTGTTTAGTTTTGAGATTTCAAACTAATTTCCCCATATTCAGTCAAAAGAAAGTGTGAAGGATAAACAATGATGTTTCATTCTTTCTTGTTTTTCGAAGGTTGCGGATCAGGTCTAAGTGGGGAGACACTCACTGAGCAGGGACACCAGTGGCTTGGTTTGGATATATCAGAATCAATGCTTGGTATGCAAATTTCTTCTTAAGTGAGTAAAAAAACTGATCTTGCTATGATCATTATCAGATCGCTAAATGGTGGCTTTATTCTAGATGTTGCATTGGAGCGTGAGGTTGAGGGTGATTTGATGCTGGGTGACATGGGTCAGGTAGGTCTCATAGTTTCTTCTGATTGCTTCATCCTACTCTCAATTGTGATTTAAAACGCTAGATACACCATGTTGTTTTCTATAATCCTGTTGCTTGGGCTGTAACTTTTTTAAAGTTGTCAAAACTCGTACATGATCCACCACCCAGTGTACGTAGCTCATCAGCTGAGAAATCTTGAAGTGCCCAAAAAGGAAAGGAAAATACTGCACATAACTACAGACTTAAACATGCTAGCTTCTCATGAAAACATTAAGCATACTAATGAACCTATCAAAAAATATGACAAAGTACCAATTCATGGAAGCAAAGCTTCAGCATTACCCAGCTAAATTTGACACTTCATTTTGCATGATGATGTTCTTCTCTGTTTTGATGACAAACAAGTGATGATTTTTTGGTTACAAGTTTATGAGCTGTAATGCTACTCTCAATTCAAGAATAGGTTATTCCACAATTCCATATCTCATAATTTGCATGCAAGGTCATCTATATATTAGGTGGAGTTCTGCATCAATACCATTTCCATTTCTTCCCTGAGCCCTCTTAAATACTATAAATACAGATCTGTTTATTTCTAGAATATGCTGCCTATAAGGCTATAACTATCATCTATATTTAGGATTTTCAAGGCAAAGGCATAATAGACATATTCATAGTCATGTGGATATAGTTTTCTTGCATGATTTGTCTGCAAGGTCTATTTTTTTTGTGTGCGCGCGCTAAAATGACTGGAGAAGATGAAAAATTATGAATTGTGGTTGTCTATCTTGGTTGATCGTGCACACAATTGAGATTACTTATCAACTGAGTTGTGCCAATAATGCTGTTGATAATCTTCTACGCTGATAGAGATGTTACAAGTTGTCAAATAATGGTTAGTTCAAATTCTACATGTTCTTTAAAGAATGGCATAAATTATCGGTTTGCATCTATCGTAGGGCTTAGGGCTTCGATCTGGTATTCTGGATGGTGCCATCAGTATCTCAGCTGTGCAGGTATCTTTTTCTCTCTTCTTTGTTGAGATCTTCAATTTTCTTAGCTGATAATGATGATAGTTACCAGGGGAGCTTTGACAATTTAGAGTTATGTGTTAAATGTTATCTATTTTTTTTTCATAATCAATTTTGCTTTTGATATGAAATAATTAGCCTGTGTACTACTTTCAAGTTTCAAGAGGCACGTCTTGCCATAGACTTCATAATCTCATCATCACCTGGCAAACATTCTCTGGTTATGACTTCAATTTGGTACCTGTATGAGTTTACTTTAGTTTGTTTTTGGTGTATTATCAATGCACACTGATTTGTATGGCTTCTTAAGGCATATTTGCTTATCAGTTCTGATGTACTTAATTTTCCCGAGCAGTGGTTGTGCAATGCTGACAAATCTTGTCATGAACCTCGGATAAGATTGAAGTAAGTAAAAAAAAATCTTTTCTTATTGTTAGTTGGTAAATTGTGATGTTAATCTGCTCTGGATCCATTTATGATGTTATTGTAGTTGAATGATTTCATTCTCTTTCTAGCTATCTAAGTAGTATGAATTTTGTTTGTAACTCTGCAGGGCTTTCTTTAGTTCCCTGTACAGATGTTTGGGAAGGGGAGCAAGAGCAGTACTCCAGATCTATCCTGAAAATCTTGCTCAGAGAGAGCTAATTCTGGGTTTTGCCATGCGAGCTGGATTTTCTGGAGGCATAGTTGTTGACTACCCACACAGGTTAAAAAGCTATAGATTTAATTTACTGTCATTTTTTTCCTAATTTTTTTGTGAAGTAGTTTGAAAATTAGCAGTTTACCCGAGTGCGCTCATTCCTCGATGGTCGACCCCTGACCTAAACTTACCTGACATACAAAGGGAAGTCTTATATGGCTAAGTTGCAGTTTTTTCATTCTAGTTAGAGCTTAGTTGTGTGAGCTTTTGTAGCATGTTACCTTCAATTTATTTGAATTGATACAGTTTAGGCCATCTGTAAGCACACCAATCAAAGTAAAAAACATTTGTCAACCACAGACTGGCTTTTGCGATCGTTAGTTCCTCCTCTGGACTTCCCTATACCTCTCTCATGCTCAGCGTATGTGCCAAAGGCACTTTTGGAACGTTGACCAAGTACACACCGTTTCTCTAATATTGACAGAAGTGCTTTACAAATTGATTAGCCAAAGACAAATTGTTTTTCTCAAAAAGTATTTTTCGAAAAGCACTTCTAACAGAACACTTTTCAAAATAAGCAGATTTTAGAAGTTTGGCCAAACTGACTATTAATCTTTACTAAGCACCCTCCTAACAATTTGTTAAGAGTGTGTTGGTATAAAGGTTAAGTAACAGTTTAATTGCCTAAGGTTAGGTTCCTGTATTTCATAATTTTTTATAATTTGGTCAATTCTCTGAGTAAGATGAAACTAGGTTGTGTTTGGAAAGTAAAAGTTTGATGTGTAGAACAAAAAGAGGAAAGGACTGAAGCAAGCAAAGTAACTAAAATAAAGGCGCAGAAAGTGCAAAAAGATTTTATCCCTTTTTTTATGTAGCTATAAAAAGATGCATGAGATGGGTATTTCTTCTACTCTTTTTTTGAAGTTATTTTTCTACCTTATATCGTTATATCATGCTAAAGATTTTGCGCTTGTACTTGGAAAAGATATTGCCTTGGTAACAAAGATAATTATGAATTGACCAGTATCAGTAAGTGTAAGCTTAACCAAGAGTAGAACCAAGGAACCTGAATTTTTTTGGTCTTGAGATATATGTTAGCTTTGCCCCAGGATATGATTACAATGCACTTTCAAGTGGAGGTTTATTTTGTTTTGATTTGGTTGCTGTCCTGACATAAGATTGTCTTTTGTTTGGTTGTCACAGTTCTAAAAGGAGGAAGGAATACTTAGTTCTTACTTGTGGTCCGCCGTCTCTCAGTACCACTACTCCTGAAGGAAAGGGTGAAGATGGAGAGAGTTGTTCTGATGAAGATAGTAGCGAGGATGAAGAAAACCAGACAGTAAGTAATTCAAGGGCACTTTAACTTACCGCGCTGAAGCTAACCAGTGTCTTTCCTCCTCCCAAAACTTTTATTGTTCTTTTGTTTTTACTCACATCACCACCCTACTGTGCAGGTTTGCATATCTGACAGGCGCAGGCCTAGAAAAAAGCAAAAGGTTAACAAGAAAGGCAAAGGGAGGGACTGGGTTCTGAGGAAGAAAGAACAGATGAGGAAAAAGGGGAATGCAGTTCCTGCAGATAGCAAATACACTGCACGTAAAAGAAAAGATCGGTTTTGATCCATTAGTAAGATATATTCGGGTTGATTTATATGTTTTCAACAGAACTTCAGCACAAGGAGCTAAAATTATTGCTTATTGACCGAAGTGAGAAGCAAAAATATTCTGATTAAAGACGTTCCTCAGATTGTTTAAAGATTCCGGGACAGTTTTGTGAGACCTGAATATAATTTTTCAGCTGAGTTCAAGAGTAAACAAGATGGTCTATAGTCTCTTGGTTCTTTACATATGATTTTTTTTTAATTGGAGGTTGTTTTTCGATAGATCACGTTGTGTATTTAACCCCCTTCTGGAGTTTATCACTGGTTGAGTACTTATTTTCTTATGCAGTTGAAATTGTGTTCATTTATCTTTGTAGTTGGGGATTCATTGGCAGTTCCATCTTATGGTAAAAGTCCTAAATAGTTCTAGTTATGAATTAAATTGGGTTAAAAGAGGAGATCGAGTAATTTAAATGAAATTGGATAGTTTGGATCGAGTTGGATAAATTTCCCTTTATAAGAGATATTAATGTTAAGTTTAGTAATGGTAGAAATATAAATATTTCGATATTGTAATTAGGGCGGTTCATGGTTATAGTTAACAATCAAATCAAATCGCAATCAAACCAATTAAAAAGAAAGATATTTGGTTTAGTTTGGTTAGATTTGATTTTTATTTTTTGAAAATTGATGTTATTTGGTTTGGTTTTGATTTTACTAAAAAACAACCGTAACAATAACCAAACCGAATCGATAAATTAGATATATAAATTTTATAGTTATTTATATATTATTTATAAATGAATAAAAAATATTTTGTTTAATTTTAATTAACGAATGGTGCAGGAACACTCTTCAACAAGCACCATGATTGCAATGGTACACTTGTAGAAGAATCCCCTTCTCCAGATCCTGTTACCAGAGCAAATCCCGACTCATCGTTTTCCTTCCCCACCGATTCCTGTAACGGAAGCG